AGAAAATGAAGTACTACTTGCGGAAGAATCTTTAAAAGCACAGAGGCTAACCTTTGTTCCATATGAACCTTGAACAGCCAACGTCNATCAAGAACATCGTTCCAGCTGGAGAAGACAAGAACCTTCGCTTGTGGGTCACTTGACTTGATCCATAAGATTCTTCTAGTAACAGCTTCAATCTACCCCAAACACAGTATATGAGAAAATGAAGTACTACTTGCGGAAGAATCTTTAAAAGCACAGAGGCTAACCTTTGTTCCATATGAACCTTGAACAGCCAACGTCTAACTCATCAAGGCTCAAAGCATATATGGCAGTGTCATCTTCAGATTCTCTAAGCTGTAGTCTCATTGTCGCCATCTTAATCTCATCATAGGCACGTCTGGGGTTAGCTTGAGCCCTAGCTAAGACCCTTGCATGTGCATATTCCTTCCTCATCACCTTAACCAAGATAAGAAATAATTACAAATGTCAGATTCGGTTAAAAACTTGAAAACGAAAGATATGAAGTTTATACTCCTTTCTCCATCTAACCTCAAGAGTTTGTAAATGTTTTGTGGCTGCCAATTTGCCTTCACTGTCTAAATAAGATTTGCAATGGTTTCTTATCACACCAAGAACTACTTCTGTCTCAGATGGAGATTTTGAAACCTATTATCAGAACAGAGAGAGCATAAAGCAAGTGACTTATTGGTGTAGGACCTACGAAACAAGCTTATCCCCATCCCATTTTCTCTAGCCTCTGTACTCTGATTATACGAAATTGCCTGGGGATGAGCTTCATCGCCGCCGGTGGAGAAAGGCCGTCTAATCGGATCCTGTCCTTGCTGCCGTCGATTTCGCAGAGCTTCTCGATCAAAACCCTAGGCACAGAAACAGATTGTTAGGTGACTCGGGTCTGCAGAGAAGAGAGAGAGCTCGAGAATTGAAAAATTACCTGAGATCTGAAGCTTTCGCCGGGGAACATCGTAGGAGAAGAAGATGAGAGAGAGAGAGAGAGAGAGAGAGAGAGAGAGAGAGAGAGAGAGAGAGAGAGAGAGAGAGAGAGTGAGG